GGAAGCGTATCTTGGCATGTTCCTTCATATCAATTCTCCAAACTTGGGCTCTGAGAGGCTTTTTATAAGTGTTTATTTCTAAGAATGAGAATTTATTTTTTTAAAACAGTTTGAAATGTGCATCCCTCACCAAGTCATTCAAGCACACTGTGTAAAATGCGTTAGAAACCGAAGACCACGTTTTTGGGGGCTTTTCAATTACCAAATGAGCCACCGAGTGACCAAAGTGATTCTTCCAAAAATCTGCTTACATCCACCAACGCAACAACCCACAGCTGCATGCAGCATGTGAATTTTGCCCAAGGCCATTATTTTTAATGGCTTGTTCCAAAACACCTGAAAATGCTTTGGAGTACCCACCTGGTATGGTCTTAACTAAAAGCAATTCCAAGATGCTGTTGCTGGATGAAGCGTGATGAGAACCAGAGTCCTGGTTAATGGGCTCTGTTGGTGTCACTGGGAGGTTCAGGACAAGATCCCGCTGTCCTGCGGGGGTGTGGGAGGAGGCTGCGTGCAGCTCCGAGGCAGGCTGCCCTCCAGCAAAGCATCACTGCCCTCTCGGGGTCTTCTCCTCCTGAAGTCCCACAGTTAAGAGCTGGGAGAATCATAGAATCGTCTAGGTTGGAAAAGACCTTTAAGATCACAAGTCCAACCGTTACACTAACCCTGCCATCTCACCACTAAACCATGTCCCTAAGCACCTCATCTACCCTTCTTTTAAATACCTCCAGGGATGGGGACTCGACCATCTCCCTGGGCAGCTCATTTCAGAGCCTGACAACCCTTTCTGTGAAGAAATTTTTCCTAATGTGCGTTTCGGTGTGACTTCATGGTGATCACAGCTGCAGGTGGCTTTCTGCACTACCCTTTGGCCTTGGACGGCCCCTTCCGGAAGCTGGGACTCAGCTCCCTGTCTACCCTCTTCTACTGTAACCCCTAAAATGCTCCATCCCAGGATAGGAGCAAGGCTTTCCCATTGGCATGCTAAACCGTAGGAGGTTACCTCGTTGAAACTAGAAGATGTGAAACCTAGCAAAAGGGGCTAAAATCCTCTTAGGCTGACCTTGTGGCACAGTCTTAGCTAAGCCTGTGATGGTGGCTTTGAAGAAGGGTGGCTGCAGGTGTGCGGGAATGGGATTTTCAGGTGGCGTGCATGTGGTAGCTCAGCTGAACTTGGCAGCGCGATTCCTGCTAAAAAAAAGCTTTGGGGTGGATGATTTTCAGTTTCAGTGAATTTATAGTTTAATTGGTAACTTGCTGTTTTAACTCGGGCGCACATGTGGCAAAGGCAACTGGAAGCTACCACTCTTTTTTTTTTTTTTTTTTAATTTTTTTTGTCTTTCTCAGCGTTGGCACGCTCAGGGACAGCTTTGATGTGCAGAGGTTTAGGACACAATGCTGCCGAAGCATCGGTAGCGCTTCCAGGTACGGGGGAATTTATTTTCAAGCAGAGATGTTGTAATCTACAAGAAAATGCGTGTTTAAATCTGATGGAAAATCCTCAAACTAACCTTGAGGCATTGTGATGCCTGATCTCCCATAATCCGGTGGGAAGACTCAGAGCTGTTCTTCTGTTCTCCACGTTGCAGCCAGGCTATATTTCATGTCACTTTGGCGAATTTTGGAGTCCCTGAAGTTAAACTCTTATTGGAGTGTGACACTTGTCAGGAAGAGGAGCTCCTATGGGATAAAAATCTGCAAACAAGAAAATCGCCAAAGGGCCAAAGCAAAGGTATATATTTATGCTTAACCATGGTTCCTTCTGAAAGCCCTGCGGTAAAAATAGCAAAATCTGAGGAAGGCGGCGAGCCTGAGCCGTGCCTTGCTTTCATCTCGGCGGTGCTAAGAGCAGGGTGTGAATCACTTGCGTTGTCTCCATACGCAGCCAAATGTATTTTTGATGGAGTCAAGGCAACAGCCCCCATTAAAGCGTTGGGCAATAACTCTGACACCATCCCTGCATCGCTCCCCGTCCCTGTCTTCAGTCGTGGGGCGGGGAAGATGTGCAGAGAGATGTCCGCAGATGCCTTTGATCTTTCCTTACTTTTTTTTGTCACTGAAACCTTTTAGGGTTTTGCCTGTATAGGTAGACAGGGATATACCCTAGGAGTTCATGAACTAATCCCGCCTGCAGTCTTGGGGTGTTGTTTGAAGGAGGGACTTCTGTGTCTTTTGTTAAGCGTGGCTTTGGGATCTGTTTCCTCTCCTGCTGACTTCCATGAAAGCAGGGCTGGACCTTGCATGCCTTGTGGTACGAGTGGTCAAAATGCTTTCAGTGCTTGTTCTAAGGAGGGTTTGTTACCACCTTAATTTCTGCACGGAGCTGGTGTGTTGGTGACTTTGCCAGTGACCCTCGGTGGCCAGCAAAACCTCTCTGTCCAAATACTTCCCGAGACACTCAGCTAGACACTGTATTGTTGTCTGGGTGGTCTGGTTCCAGCGCTTGTTAAAAAGTGTGGGATTTGCTGGTGAACCCCAGGGCAACAAAGCAGTACAGTATTTTCTCCGTTGCAGACTGTAGGAGAGAGTTGGTCTCACAACTGCTTACTCAGCAGGCGGGAGCCAAACCAGTCCGTAGTATAGAGACTGACCAGAGAAAACAAGTGTTGTGGTAGTGGCTTGCAGCTCCTGATGCCAGTGGGCGAGGGAGGAATGCTACTGATGTTAACCAGTATCTCAGAACTAACACCATGAAATTAGCACTTAGCATCACAAAAATCTTGGTACAGCAGAGCAGAAAATGCAGTTTCTGAAGGAGGTGGTCTCTTGCCTTTCTGTTCTGTACAGTGTTGCCTGGGACATAGTAAATCAGTTGGCTGAATTTTGTCCTGACCCCAGGAGCATAGATTTGCAGCAAGACCCATGGGACCTTGTCCCAGATGTATTTTTCAGCAATCCTAGTGCTTACTAAATCACATGAATTCACTTTATATGCCATTATGGCCTGCCCGTCAGATGGGCACAGTGTCCATTAAAACCCTCGAGGGGGAGAATCACAGAATCATTTAGGTTGGAAAAGACCTTTAAGATCATCAAGTCCAGCCCTTAACCTAACCCTACCATCCCACCACTAAACCATGTCCCTAAGCACCTCATCTATGCTTCTTTTAAATACCTCCAGGGATGGGGACTCCACCACCTCCGTGGGGAGCCCCTTCCAGTGCTT